TGTTTTATTGAGAGTCAGAAGGAAATCAAATATGAACAGCTTCCAGAAAAAAAAGACTTACTTTTTTCTCCCTGATTATAGTCAAAATCCTTGTTAATGACAAAGCTCTTATTTGCTTTGTCATGGGGATGGGATTTCAGGCAGGCGCAATGCACCAGTTTTTTATACGAACACACATGATGCACAATCAGAATTGTGAACTAGGTAGTCAGTTTAGTAGAAAAAGCAGCGAGTACTGCAAGTGGACACTTAATGTTACATTAGCAAATTATTCTCAAGTGATTGTATTGGTGAGCAGATTTGAATAGGATAGGCTGTTGGAAAATATTCTGACTGAATAAATCTGAGACCATCTCTCTTGCCTGGTGCTAGAAGTTTCTTTTAAAAATCAGTTTCAAAGTTCTTGGTTCTCCATTAGGCCTCCTATGCTTTTTAACAGTTGAGAAAATAGTTAATATAATTTTGTTCATCTTACATGTCCCCTATTACCATGGTACTCTGGTCTTTATCATTGTTTTATCAAAAAAGGGTCATAATTACACGGGTTAATATGATCCTCACAGTCCATGTGAGTAGCTGTAATGGAAACATTGCCCTGTTCAGTGCACCACCTGCCCTAATTTTCTTGGAAGCATGCATTGCTGTGTCTATTGTGTTTTGACAACATATTCACAGCCCCACAGCTAAATCTTAGCCTTTGACTGTTGAATTTCCCTTTGAAATTAGGGTTTTTGCAGTTCTATGTGATGTTCCACTGTTGTTAACTCTATTTGTTCTCATCCAGCAGGTTTGAAAATTTATGGGTTAACATAGTAAATATAACTTTGTAGTCTTTGAAATATGGATTTCTTCTTAATCTGAAGTTTGTTCAGACATTTGTTTCCATAATGAAATCTGCAGAAACCTGATTTTCCCGGCAGAATCATTCAAAAATTTTCTGTATTCAGTTTTAATGGATTATCTTTGGAAGTAAATTAGAAACAAAAAACACAACTTGCATCAGTGCTGTAATTTATTTTTCATGTTGAAGTAATAAAAAAGTCTCAGTGAATAAGTATAGCTACATTTGATAATGATTCAGGGTTGGTTAGTAAACTGAAGGCAACTGCTGCCTGCTGAGACACTGCACGCACAGTCTGCCTCCCAAGAACAGCTCTAGCTCACAGCCATTTTGCATGGAAGCAGCTCAAACTGGTTCACACAGCTGTGGGAATTGTCCTTCCTAGAAATCCCGCAGAACTGGGATAATTTGTATGAGTGAGATTCAGATTTTGGGAGCTTTCCGTGGACAGAGTTCTGCGACGCCTCTTAGGGAATTGGGATAGATCAGCCCTTACCAGAACCCTGAGGCACAGGTTCCTCTGCTCTTCCTCTGTAGCAGGAAATCTTTGCCCTCTCTTTTTGATTCTCTCTGATTGTCTTTTTTGAAATGCCTAAATTTAGCCAGAGTTCAGGTAGTCTGCGCTGCAGTTACAGTAGTGTGTACCAAGCCATCAGCAGAACAATCTGCCGTACAGTGAACGCTAAAAATTCGGGGACAATGTAAAATCAATGTAATTAATATTAAAATGGAAAACCTCAGAGGGGTCTACAGCACTGATTGTGTTATTCATTGCACCTAATTTTTTAAGAGCCTCCACTGTAAAAGGACATAAAATGGCAAGAACTTCTGGATTGCAGAGCATAAAGGGTTTACACAATCAAAGGATTTTTTCCTTAGGACTTATGTCCTCTTTCTTGAAGAGGTAATTGTCTTCTTTATCATGTCTTACCTTACTGGCTGCTAACAGAAGAGAAATATTTAAATTGTGGCAGACCAAAAAATTACCTTAGAAGAAGAGTTAATGCATATAAAGGATGTGCAAATAGAAGCATTGGAAATTATGTAGATTCTCGCATTTATGAACACGAATGCTCTTTCTTTTCTTTCCTTCATTCCCAATTTCATTTGCTCTGTACATTTAATAGCTCTCTTAATCTCAGAAAAATGCAATGTATAAAAAGAGTATTCAACCTTTAGGGACTATTAAAGAAATATATGCCTAATACCTCACGCAAAGGCATCTCCATCTCCTGACAAGATATCACCATGCATAGTAGGAAAAGAAGAGGAGAAATAATATGGAAGACATAAATTTCTGGCAGAACTCTCATAAGACAATTGCATTTTGGCAAAGATTAGTCTGGTTTGTTGTTTCACCGGCAGTTTGTTAAGACCCAGTCCAAGCAGAGCTCCTCGAGTGAGAACAGCCTTCAGCAAACTCCCTAGTTCTTAGGAATCCCTCTTACTCCTTGCCCACGAGTCCATGGAGGTCTACAAATAGGTGAGAGCACCCTGGACACCCAGTTTGGCTGCACCAGCTGAAAACAGTCATCAGATCATCTGAACGTGGGCTGAGGCTCACACAAAGACCCTTAGGTCCTTAGCCATCAGCTCCTTAGCCAACAGTGTGGAGCAGGTACAACAAAGGACCTGCCTCAGAAGACTTCGTTACCTGTCAATAAGCTTCCAGACCCAGAATAATCAGATGGAAATAGTATCAGTTATCACTGAATAAACACACAATGGGAAAAATAAAAATGACACTCAACTTGTTCTGAAACAAGGTTGCTGAGGAGGAGAAGCGTAGAAAAGGTGTGTGGATGGGTAGAAAGAGATGGATCAGGGGAGAGTTTTAAAGGGGTCTCCTTGCAGAAAGCTGCATATGCAAGTTCAGGAAAAAAAATCCAAGAAAATATCCTCTGCTTGGTACCTGCTGTACCAGGGCCAGCGAAAAAGCCTGTGAAAATTGGCTTAAACCCTGCTGTTCAACTTCCTGAAGGCATTAAATGCTGGATCACGAGATCCGCTCTGGGGTGAACCATCGGAGCAGCAGAAGCACTGCTACGGCCCGTGCAAGACCTAGCCAGCGACTCCTGCACACTAGGCCAGGCCAAGAAGAATAGATCATTATACTTTGAGGTAAACAAACAAATGGGAAAAAAAGAATGGAATACAAGTGGCTCAAAACCTATGCTTTTTGCTATTAGACATACTATACAGATAGTTCGTAAATACTTTTTGGTAAAAGTGCTTAAGCATACTTTACCCTAATGTGCTGTGTGTTTTCTACTTTAATTTCATGCCTAAATCGATAGCTAATTATAATTTGACAAGAAAAAGAGATTGCAATGGCTATGATCTACCTGCTCTGCTGTTAAATTATAATGTGGTTGGCTGGCTTTACAGTGCTTCCATAATTAGTCTATACCATTTCCAGAGTCACCGTAAGAAACAGGAAATAAATTTCTGGCGAATCATTTCAACACCACGCAGAATTGTCACAGAAGCCCTTTGTCTGTGCCTGATGGAAGAGGGAAGGTTTTGATGTCTAATTGTTGACACTCATCTGTCCAGGATCTAAACAGCTTCCACCTCCAGTCTTAGACCAGATGCCAATTAGGGAAACTCTCTCCAGGACCATGGTCATTTAGGCAATGATTATTAAAGCAACGTATCCTTGAAGAATCTGAGAGTACAATTGCCATCCCAAATAACATCCGTGTCCTTCTCTAGGCCTATCACACAAACTCACATGCTCCCCACAAATACACACATGAGAGAGGTTTTCTCCCCCATCCTGCAAACCTGTTAAGAAATGGACAACTGGATATGTAAAAAATTCTCTTCTTTGATTTTCGTGCTCACCAGTCATTGAAGGGTTACTTTTCAGAGCAGCACAAAAAAAGAAGAGCTGGTTGACCAAACATTTTTTTTCTTACAAAGAAGTGTCAACCCTGAGCTTGTAATTAAGAAGTTAAAATCTGTGATTTATATATATTTATATATATAAAAATAGATGATCATACTAAGACTAAAAAAGTGAAAGAAATCTCCATGTCAATACTATATATTTTTTTGTTCTGAAATTTTGCAGAAGAAATCCTTGTGATACTGAAATTAACTGGTATGAAAGATGTAGTTAGATGTGAAACACACTATTGATTCGTTCGCTGTTAGTCCATTAGAGAATTGCCATCTTGGTAGGATAATGAACATAGTAGCAGAAAGTCCTAATCGATGTCAGAACAGTGACAAAAGGAAAGATTATATCACAAGAGATTATTTTCTGTCTGAACCCTTGAGGGGAGATTTGTCAGGAGCGTTGTTTAGCATTACCACCATGGCTGATGGTGAGCTAAGTGGAAATCTGTGCCAATTGTATAACATGGATAAATACTAAAAGAAGCTAGGTGAAATCGTGCTACTACTCAATTTTTTACTGGGCATTAAGATTTAAATCCTAAACAACTGTAACATGATATTCTGAAGCTAGTGGAGTTACTATCATACTAAAAGATAAACTTATTTTTCAGCTTCTCTACCTTCATACCAATCTGATGTGGCTGGCAGATGGAGTGCAAGACATTCACCATTGAGACATACGTTTGTGTTGGAAAAAAAATCCAGACTTCCTCCCTATAGCAATGATTATTCTGATGACCTGAATCATCCTACAGAAGTTCCTAAAGGAAACCTGGCTGTCAGTGAAGAACGGTTGCATTTTTTTTGTTCCTTTCTTGTCTTTTTTTGTTTTGTTGATATTCTGTTGAAATGCAGCAGCCTTGAGTCAGGCCTGATTCAGACAGAAAACTGTTTTCTTGGTTTCTTCCCCCCTCTTTTTTCTCGTCAGGGAAAACACACACTGTAAGATCGTTTTTTACTTTTGCAGCATGAAAGGAAATGAAGCTCAGAAAGTCTCCTGTAATAAAGGTTTGAGAAAGAATTCTCTCAAGAGTGGATATCGTCTTCAGAGATATCTGAAAAAAGCAGGAAGCAGTTCAGTCTGGCACCTGGTATTCTTTGGGAAAACAAAAAAGGGAAGCAGGTTGCAGTACTGCTCTCTTCTCATAGAAAACTGCAAGTGTTTGTGGCATGGTCCATTGTCCAAGAGCATAAGAAAAGAAGAAAGTTGGCTGTTTCTGTAGCTAAAACACAGTTTCTCCGACCAGATACAGGATTATCTCCACTGTCTCTGCAGTATGAGACTGATGAAGACGACGAGCAACGTCTGCAGTGACCGGCCAGGCTGCGTGGCTGAAGCCTCCACCTCCCTCCTGTCGGAGTCGACCGGTGGTGCTTCGGTGGTGACGAAATCGAACTCGGTGGGACAGATGTCGTCCGTACAGCCGCTTCCGCTGCCCGAGCCGCTGCTTTCGTCACCTGGCACAAAGGAGGGAGGGAAACAACGTGAGGGCCACGGGTTACGGTGTTCGTCCCTTTTCTCCGTTCCCATTCCACCCAGCACCCTGGTGGGGGTGAACACCTTGGGAACGGGAAAGTGCTGCTGGTGCTCACTTTCATTCAGTAAAGCATCCAAATGAAAGCCACCGTGATTTAACTAGGTGCTTAAATGCCCTTCTGAAAAAGGAGCGGACTGCTGGCCTTATGGAAAGCCCTCAGTGTCTTGATGCATTTGACGTGAAGAGAAGCAAAAGAAACAAATATATAACTGGGATTTCATGGGACAGAAAAAGGCTTTTTTTTATGTTGTCAGCAGCACAGAACACAAAGACCAAAGAAAGCTATTCTAAGGGAGGAGATTTATAAATGTGTTTAAAAAATATACTTTTTTAATGACAGTTAATGGTTTCTTACTTGTATCCTGGAAGTTGACATCATTTCCATTATATGCGTTCTTCAGTTTGTTAGTCATGACACGTAAGGCCATGATTTGTTGTCGAATGAAGGTGTCTGGCCTTGTGATGTCCACATCTACTTCTGGATTGTTGATCTGGTTGGTCAAGCCATCGTTCATAATCTCAGGCAAGTACCTATACAGCAGGATGAACGATTAGTTTAAAATGCAATAAGTTTCAGAAATAAAAGATTGTACAGTAAATGCTGTGCTAAGCAATTTGACACTGATAACGATTACACAGTTCTTAAACAGCTCCAGTGAAACCGTTTTAAAAATATGGTTTTTAATTTTACAGACTCTAAAGGCTCTTTTTAGTAGCTCAGCTGCATGGAGAGCAGAAAGGATTTAAGCTCTCCAGCCTCCTAACTCTCCACATACTCCCCAGCCAGTGCGCTGGCTCTGTGAACTACGGAAGAGGTTCACCAGCCAGCAGTAAGTCATTGCATGTTCAGATCCTCTACTGATATGGATGGTTGCGCACTAAATTAAGCATCTAACAGTGCATTGTTCTGTTTTTATTTCGTTCTGCTTAAAAATTATGAACTCCTTTGTTATATACCGCATATTTGTTGTTCTGAGATAGTTTGGAAGGCTATCTTGAGGTATTATGGCTCTCCTTGTTTAAAGGAAGCAATTAATTAATTTTCTTCTCCAGTTCTTCCTCGCAGCCCTTTTTTGACCACCGTGAACAACATCTCCAGCCTGTCTGACATCCGGGCCCATAAACAGCATTGCGAGTTTACCAAACTCCAGGGTTCTCTTTGATTTGGTCCTTAGTCCTTACAAACAGGCTATACTTGCACCTCCCACATGCGTAACGTATTTCAGGTATGGCATTTCCTATCCACCCACACATCTGAATTTTTTATTCAGGCTCTCAGCTTATCATGTCTTGATTACTGCAGCATTCCCTGCTCTGACCTTGGCAAATGCAGTCTTAGGCTGCTCACAGGCAGCAAGTGTGCTCTTGCAGGTATCCCTCCCCTACAAAAATCAGTCTGTGCCTCCAATCATCCTACGGTAAAAGTCTTCATCGTCTTTTGTTAAATAGGCACACTTTGTCCCCTGCTGCTCTTTGTCCTCAGGAAACTCTCCTTACAGGCATCTGCAAAGCTACTTTTTTTCCTACTTTGAATCTGTTAAAAATTACCTCTGCATTTTACAGCTGCTAGGCGGATAAAGGGCTGACATTATTTCTTTGTGCTGGCACGGTATCCTGTGAAAATAGTGTATCCCCCTGCTTCCCAGTTCTCTCTCGTCTGTCTTTATTTACCTACTATTTTTGTCTCATATTTAGACTGCAAGGGTTTCGGAGCAGATCTACCCTTTGTTCATGTTCTTTATCAGGACATGATCTATTTTGTAATTAGTTTGCATACCAGGCTATCCTGCTGATGTTTGTGGGACTCCTCGTGTGGGTATGTGCTCAGCCAGTAATGACAGCACAGTCTAGCTTACTAATGGCAAACTTTCATGATGCCTGATACCAAACGTAGTTTAAGAGTATTTTACTTCACTCTCACTTGTGCCAGCCCAATTCACTATCAATCTTCAAATTTGGCGCTGGTGCCAGTGTTATATTTATATTGGTCTGGAAAATAAATATATCCCTTAAAAATAAAAGTGAAAGTAAGGGAGAAGAAAGGACTTTCTCTGCTGAAGTCATGGTTAAGGGAAGACAAGTTTTGTATTGCTTCTGGAGGTTCACAAAATGATGACTGCTTTGCTGCACCAGGGAAGGGTTTAGTCTCATCGTAAGAGGTACTCGCTTTGCAAGATAAGACTCATTTGTCATCAGTGGCTTTGAAAGTTTACATGAGAATAATCCTGGGGGAGTGTGAACATATAAGAACAAAACATGACTGCCCAAAATACCCAGCTTCAGACTGCGTGTCCTGTTGTTTCACTAGTACCATAACGAGAAATAACAATGCTGTAGGGATCCCATCCAGACTCCTGTGGTACAGGCTTAACTACGGTGAGAATACAGAGCCAACTCCCCTACTACAGAAGACTGCAGACCGCAGTGTTATGAATCACCAAAGATAGAAATTGGAAATAATTCTGCAGAGCTGCCTAGAGGCAGCAGGACGGAGACCTTGGCACACAGGGAAGCTCTGGGCTGCAAACGAACAGCACCTCCATCTGTCATATGTCTCTACAAATGAAATGGCTGCTGTAGATAAATTACTCAGCCTAGAAGTAAATCAGCGATTTCAAGGTGCAGTTGATTAAAAAAAGTAAGAATGTAAGAATTGCCCTACCAGCTGAGAGAGGATGTCCATCTTGCCTGGTATCTTGTCCATGACAATGGCCATAGCAGTTAGCAGCTAGAAGTGATTTGAAATCGCTGAGCGTTCATGTGGATTGCTTTCCTTGTTTATGAAGGGTTAGCTGCTCTTTATTGCAAGCCATCCATGAGAAGCTATGGCTAGCTCTGAACGGCAGTTCACAGGCTGTCTCTCACTGATTTATGTTTGATTTCATCTTGTCTTATCGTCAATAATAAAAGAAGAATGTACTGACTTCTTAGTAAGCTTTTCATACGGAAAGAATATGAGTTAGTTTGGAGACTTAAAGCAGTTAGAGAGTGCTCTGGTGTGTTCTTTTTATCAAGATTCATATTCTGCACTGTGATCAGTGTGGATCTGGTGTCCTGAAGACTAACTTTAAATGGGCCAGCCCATTTAGTTGTAGGAAGTGATTCAGTCAATGTCACACACCCCCTAGTATCTGCCTCAGGATCTGATGATCCCCAAAGCATTCCTGGCATGGAGGGTTGGTCCGTGGCAGGAGAATGGTCCAGTGCACCTCACCTAGATGTCTAAGGGAGCCATACTGGATGTGGGTCACAAGAAATCCATTACCTTATGATTTCATAGAATCATAGAATCATAGAATCATTAAGGTTGGAAAAGATCTCTAAGATCATCAAAAGATCATCAAGTCCAACTGTTAACCCAACACCACCATGCCCACTAAACCATGTCCCTAAGCGCCTCATCTACACGTCTTTTAAATACTTCCAGGGATGGTGACTCCACCACTTCCCTGGGCAGCCTGTTCCAAGGTCTGACCACTCTTTCAGTGAAGAAGTTTTTCCTAATGTCCAGTCGAAACCTCCCTTGGCGCAACTTGAGGCCATTTCCTCTCGTCCTATCGCTTGTTACTTGGGAGAAGAGACCAACACCCACCTCGCTACAACCTCCTTTCAGGTAGTTGTAGAGCGCGATGAGGTCTCCCCTCAGCCTCCTCTTCTCCAGGCTAAACAGCCCCAGTTCCCTCAGCCGCTCCTCATAAGACTTGTTCTCTAGACCCTTCACCAGCTTTGTTGCCCTTCTCTGGACACCCTCCAGCACCTCAATGTCCTTCTTGTAGTGAAGGGCCCAAAACTGAACACAGTATTCGAGGTGCGGCCTCACCAGGGCCGAGTACAGGGGCACGATCACCTCCCTACTGCTGCTGGCCACACTAGTTCTGATACAGGCCAGGATGCCATTGGCCTTCTTGGTCACCTGGGCACACTGCCGGCTCATGTTCAGCCAGCTGTCAACCAGCACCCCCAGGTCCTTTTCCTCTGGGCAGCTGAAGGTTAGGTGGATACTTAAATTCCCAGGTGAATGAGCCTCTTGGCATTTAGGCCATAAGAGCAGAAGAATTAGAGAGGCTGAGGATTCATCTTTAGGTTTATACAGATACCAAAACTTGTACGTCTAAAGGCAAGTGTCTGCGTATGAGCAAAGTCCCACTCTCACTAGATCTAGTCAACACAAGTTCTAGTCAAAACTAGTCAGGAGTTTCTTCATCAGTGGAGCGGGGACAGCTGTTGGAGACACACGTGCCTTTGGCCAGGTGACTAGTTCATTAGATTTCATCTGCTGGGATTTAGTTGCACAGACATAGACACCTGGTGCCATTTGAATGCTCTCGGTTATTCCTCCTCTTCTCGTTACTAACCCTGAAAGGTGGGGCTTTCCCATAGGTCCTGCATCATATCCACAGGCTTGAGGGGGAGATTTTGCACATCTGGGGCATCTAAAATTACATTAGGTATCTTTCTTTAGGCATCTGAATTGAGTCTTGAGTGCCACTTTAGCCATCGGGGGATATGCTGCTTGGTGTCCTGCTGCCATTCCAGTAGGGTTTGAATATCCTGTAGGTCCAATGTCTTATCTGCCAGCTCCATGAAGCATTCAGACCATCTCACGTATCAGTAGATAAGTGTGTTTAGGCAGTTGAAAACTGCCTCACTGACTACACTGGCAGGATATTAGGGCTCTCTTCAGGCACCTTAACATTGGTGATTTTTAAATTGCTCTAGCATTTCTTGCCCAGGCTCTTGGAGGTAGCGTCCTGTGTCATACTCATCTCAGACATGCTGGAGAGTCTCAAATGGCACTACTCTTGCTTGGGCAACACAAATGACTCCTTATTGTCTCATCCGCAGGTACCTATATTTAAATGCATGAATTTACATGTCTGAATGTGAAGCTGGATTCTGCGTTCATTACTGACCTAGTTCACCTGCTTCCTCAGGGAACAAAAAAAGGCAGAAAAGCCTATACTGAATGTAAATATCTTTGAATTGTTTTCCTTTCTTGAAAGGACTGGAACAGATATGGGAACACACAGCCCAAGGTAGTTTGTGAGTGACAGCCTCTGAGAGGCAGCCCGGCACATGTTCTGACAAAAGCATTCTGATGTGTGTGGGGTAGGGTTAAGTCACAACGAATACGAAGCCATGTCTTGGGACCACTTTTTGACAGATTTGTTGCTGGCTGGGCAAAGTTGTTCAACACAGCTGCTTTTGCTGCAGTTCTGTAAGTGGAGACGCCCCTGTGAATTTTAAGCTTTGCTGCTGCTTCTGCTCTCGTTAATGATCTCTTTGTACGCCTGGCCATTACAAGAACTGTATGCCCATTATAAATGAAAAGAGATGCCAACCTGAGTCAGTGTCTGTTCTTTGCAATCTCCTTGCAAAAAAAACCCATCAGCTTTCTTAGCCCTCTGAGTATAGAGAAGCTGAACAATACTGTTTGTTTTCTGCTGTTTGCTCCTTGCTCAGCTATGTCAGGATTTTAGTGTAATTTACATTGTTTTCTAAAATATTAATGCTTTCTGTTCCTCTTAGCATTTCCACAGTTCTAGCTTGTCTCAGCAGACACAACAAAGATGTCTTTTGGCACATCATAGCCAAGCACCACAAAGCCTATTTAAAACCACTTTTTTTTTTTTTTTTTTAATATCCAGTTAATGTTCCAGGGTGTCTGCTTCCTTTTCAAGCCTAAAAATGACTGATGAATCTTTCAGGTCATTTATATAAAGGCTGTAGCTGTGAAAAAAGCAACAAAAAAGGAGGAATCTTCTGTTTTTTAAGAGACATCTGCCTTAAAGGGCAGCGTTCTCCATGTTTTGCTGCTGCAGCAGCTGCTTACAATACGACTGGAGCACCCCACCTAGGCAGTACTGGAGTTTTTCCAGGTGCACAGAATTGTAGGCAATAGAGTACAAAATACAGCAAGGCTTACTCAGGCTGGGCTGGGGGTAGGCAGTCACATCTGGTCCAGAAAGATAAGTGCAGTGGAAAATTGGCTTGTTTGGCTAACTAGATCACCTCATCTGATTCTGTTTGCTCAGGAGGTAATCCCCATAGGATATTTTCAGTTTGGGTTTTTTTTTTTCTTTTGCTCTGTCTTGGAGAAAAGCTTGAGGAGACAGAAGGAGAGGGAGAAAATGGCTCATCTGCCAGTTTGGTGGAAGGAAGAAGCTGAAAAAATAAACTAGAGCCATCAATTAAAAATAGGCAATTTTCACACTTACTGAGAAGTGGTTTATTCACACTTTCACTAGTGGTGCTAAATGGTTATCTTTGCCTACCTCCAGGTAAAGGACATTCAACTCATTCCCATTGCAAGCCTTGCTGGTCAGCAATGAGCAACTTTCCCAGGGCAGGCACTGACCTGGTGAGTCTTTCTTCCCACCTGAATTTCACCAGGAATTAAAGGCTCTTTGCCAGGGAAGTAGGCATTCACCTACCTGTGGCAGGAGAATAAGAAAATTACAGGCCAGCTGAGAGTCTATCCTGTGTTTGTTTTGCTGAAATACCCTGTAATTTTGAGCTAAACATTGAAAATTACAGTGTTCGGTTTTCCTTTTATTCCTTACCTTTCTCTATTTTTTTTTTTTGTTTATAATTACTGTCTGTCTCATATACAATTCTATTTCTTCTTCATTGTACTCGGAGCAGTGATAGGTTCCTCATGGAAAAGAACGCAGGTCTCATCTTCCATAGATTACAGCCTTCCAGAACTAAGACATTTTAGTCGGTCTATAGTCCTGGTGAGCATGAGCACCAGGATAATAGTGCATGAGCACAACGTCTCACATGGGTTGGTTGAAATGAGTTGGCCGAGCTGGTCGGAGCAAATCAAGGTCCTTCTGACCACCAGAGTGGTTGCAGATTTGGCTACTGTTCTCAATTCAGTAAAAGTCACTTATTCAAGGGCTAGTACCTTGGATTTTGTTTAACTCCTAAAGCCTGAATTCCACCATTCCTGGGAAAATTCCTTCATTTCGGGAGAACAATGAAGAGGTTATCAGCTGTAGTTAAGAATTTATCTGCATGTAGGGAAGGAGCTAAACTTTTAAAGTTTGGTCTTAACGATGTTTTTCAGAACCTAAATATCTTTAAAAAATCTGTCTCTGTGCATCTGGCAGAAAACATTAATTCTTTAAACATAAAATTATGTTAAAGTTATTTTGTGAATACAGATATGATGGGGAAGTCCTGTTGGGCATCTCTCTAAAAGGCACTTTGTCTGAAGTAGCTATTATTATTATTTTTAATATGGATTTTTTTTTTAAAAAAAGAGATTCATACACCTAATAAATGTTTTCCCATTTCCACAGCACTTAGCTTCTACCTGATGTGACCTGATTAAAACCATTCTTCGTACAGAATCAGCAACAAGCCAAGTGCACCCTTCCAGAACGTCAAATGGATGACTTTGTTACCCCATGATTATTTGCGAATTGGTGACCTTCATTTGGCGACCTGGTGTCACTGTAAATTAATCATGGTAGCAAAGTGATATCTGGGGAGTGTAATAACCACAAGTGACCTTGGTGTAATGCCTCTCTCAGGAGAAAGCCTAGCTTTCATTTTCTGTGATCTCAGATTTGTAACTCTTTCCAAAGGTGATGTATAAAATGAAACATGAGGCGTAATGTCTACCTGCCAGTTCAGAGTTTCTAAGACTTTATACCAGCACAGGATCTGATCAAAACCCATCAACAATCTCCTTTCCCAACAGTAGCCCACACCATGATGTCTTCTTATTTGTAGTATTAATGTCTAGGAAAACAGGAGGTGGCTAAATTAATTTTTTTTCTATCATGAGCTGTTGTAATATTCTCTGGAATTCAAAATGCAACTCTTTGTATAGCACAGGGGTGCTTATGACGGGTGACACAGTGAACACAAATAGATATATGCATATTGGTCAGATTTTGCCACCCTTGTTCTTGTGAACTAATGTTTATATCAGATACTAATCAGTATGATCAAGGAAACATTTATGGTTTTTCTTTATGCTGCAGTAAATGTCCTTGTTCACCAGCCAAGAGGTGACTTTGCATTTAAAGCTAGTTATTTTCAATAATATTTTCAATATTATTTCATACTCAGGCCATGGCATTCTATGGTATCTCTCTGATTTATTACTGTTCTCTCCACCTGAAGCATTTATTGAATTCTGTTATTAAGACTATGACTATATATTTCCTTTGTGAATGGATATGAAATAGAAACTGGACAGAGGAGCAGCGGTTGGGCCTGCTGAGACCGTATTTTCAGGCGATGCTTTGAAGCTGTGATTCCACGTCCAGTGAAATGTCTGTGTTAAATTAATCAAGGAGATTATCAGCAGAGGATGGCTTTTCTCAGTGGCTCCAGAACATTAATCTCAGAAGGCACCAGGAAAATAACCAGGCTTCTCATAAGATAAATACTGCAAAAGGAGGGTGAAAAACTACATGCATAAAATGCACCTCCATAACTCCCAACAAATCTGGAAGTTGTGCCAGACCCTTCAGGGCAGGAGCAGAAGACAGCTGAAAAGTATTGGCCAGACATGGTACAAACACTAGCGTTGGTCATGGAAACCAGGAGGGATATTAGCAGGTTTGTTTGACTGCTCTTTTGTAGAAAGAGTAGCATATATCTCTTATTAATGCCTGCATGTGACGCACGGCATCCAGCTGGGAGGCCTGGAAACTCCATCTAACTGCTGCAGCACATCGGCCTGGGGTTGTATCTTACAAAGTCCACCGACAAGAAAAGATATTTTAAAGGAAGATAAAACCACGTTGTTATTTCTCTCTTCACGCTGTTCCGTTGTGATGAGTCCTGTAATAGCCAGACACTCCTCCTAGCTGTCTTTCTCAGAGTCCCCTGGGGCTTTCTCTGGATCTGGGACTTAGGAACTGAGCAGTGACGGTGCTTTGGGACAGATTTGTTCACGTGCATCTCAAAGTGGGTTCAGTGGGCTAGCAGCATCCCAAACAGCCCTCTGCTCTCACCTGTAAAATGAATTCTTTTGAGCATTATGTAGTAAGGCTAGGGGAAAGGGCGTGCGTTCAGTGCAAAACCTCCCCCTGTAAAGCGTGTGCCTTATAAAAATGGTTAGATGATGGGGTGGGTGTAATCTTCTATGTATCTGTCCATCCATCCACCCATTCATGCAAAATAAGATTTAACATTATGAGTTTTTTCCCATGTTGTCTTATTTTCACTGAGTTTTTATATTTTATGTGCTTGTCTCACTTTTTGTGGTTGGTTTTTTTTTTTGTATATATTTGTGGGTTTTTTTGTTATTGGCTCATTTTTTCATTCTGGCTTCATTTGTATCATCAGGTAAAAGGAAAATAACGATTCCAGTCCCTGAGTGCCAGAAAGTATCACTGCTCTCCAGATTCAGTGCCCACCAGACGCTCAAACCTCTCGACTCCTCCGGTCTCAGGCTACTGCTGCAGACCTGAAACCTGACTGCCCCTGGCGTGGTCCTTGAGCCAATTCTTCTCTCTCTTTCTCAGCAGGGATAATCAGATCCGCTCCTCTGTCAGCTGATGAATCCACACTGGGACCTTTGGAGACACCTGCTCATCTGCCAGCTCCAGCCCTGCCACAGCCAGAGCCAAGCAAACTTCAAAATAAAAACTCACAGAAAACTCATCGCAAACAAGGGCAGATGACCACAGTATCTCTGATGGAGTAACATAAGGTCAAGCCTTCTACACAAGATAAGTAGGACTGTTACATTTATTCTCTGCTGGCTATTTTTCGGTTTTGTTTTTTTTTTTTCCCTGCAAATAGCCCTAAGCTTTGCCAGCCAATAGCAAATAGAGCCGAAATTCCAATTTCTGTTTCATCCCAGTATGATATCCCGAGAGTGCAATTGCTTCACAAGCTGTCAGTCCCAACACAGGGATGCTAAATGGAGCTAAAGAGCTCTTTGAAATCTCGGTATAAATTATCCTTCTGGAGCCAAACCAATGAACATTTTCTGTGTTCACATGCTGACACGCTGTGCACATTTACCCTGACTCACACTCTGGCTTTAATGGCACCTCGACAATAAGTAATCTCAGCTACAAGCTGCATGTGGACAATTACTTGTTCTCCCCATTTCCGTGTCACTCTTACAAACAGTGTTGTGAAATGCCCTCGGTTTCATGATTGCTTCAGGCCAGACGGGGATTTGGACCGAGTGCGGTGGAGAGGGGTCCGCCTCACCTCGCCTTGGTGTGGCCGTTCCAGCAGTCCTCCTCCATTGACGGACCGGCTGTCACTCGCTCATCCTTGCAGATTGTGTAGGGTAATGTTGACCAGAACTTTTTAGAGAGCTTTAGCTTTTCTTTAATGTCCGTTACCTGATTAAGAGACAATGAGAGGGAAAACAGGTTAAAAACATCAGCCACGCTGACTATCGTGTTAAATAATAGGTTGTTTAATTCCGTAATGGTGATGACGGTGAAGGTTAAAAGGGCTGAAGGTGCTAAAACTTAAATTCCTCTATTTACGAGCAAGGCACTCAGCATTTGGGTTCGCAGAGTACAAATAATCAAAGTCACCTTTTTCCACAGGCAAGACATTAATAAAAAGCATGTTACATCTTGCTTTTTCTAGACTCCATTTGTCTAAGGTTTTCTAAACATACATCTTTCTAAGAATTAGTATGCCTCACAGTCTGCTGAATGTAAATTCAGTTAAACAGTGTACATCAGATAAAATGTCTCACCCACCAACTTGGTCATGCCTTAGATAAATATTATATTTAGAGCTACATGTGCAGGTTTTAAAAAAATTATGCAGTGCTGAGCTGATGTTGAACTGATTTAAGATACACAGGCTGAATACATTGCAGTACATTTGGATCTCAGTAACATCAAGAAGTTTGTGTATATACATGCATGCAGAGACTATATCCATCTTTGCTGTTAGATGTAGATAAGTATCTGTAGCCGGATACAGACTTCACGTTCAAGAAATGTCGGGACAGTATCAAAACAGCTTCTTTACATTATAAACTCCTTGGACGACAATTTAATTTGGCATGATTCAGGCAGCAAGCAGGAACAAACTGAATTTCCAGCATCAACTTAATAAATAAATGGCTAAAATGTTATCAGTTCTTGTTGTGCGTTTGGTTTACTACAGTGGAAAAATTTACACGAATAGATAGAAAACACAACAAAGGACAGACTACAAAGGATGAATGGTGCCACTGTTGTTCTTATGGAAACAGATGCATTTCACATTAAGTTGTAATAGGATTTAGGGGAGCTTGTTGAATAGCTTTCAAAGGAAATTGCCCAGCTTTATTCTTTAAAAACCCAAGAAATAAAAGCTCTCCATTCTTCCTTTCAGTTTTGAGATTGGCTTTTAGGTTGTTGAGGTACAATATTGTACTTGGCTATTTATCTCTTTTATCTTTTGTTCTGAAGACATGATAGCTCTCCGAGCAAATGGCCCACGCTGCTTTGCCGTGCTTAAACTCTGTGGAATGTCACTTTATAAGCCAGGAGATAGAAACAGCCAAGAATGTTATTTCAGAAGCACCGTCTGCATTTTCATCCATAAGAAATAAGTAGGACAGTATTTGGCTGCATGAGTTGTTGACAGTGTTTCTTGCCACGATAGACACCTTATAAATCTCCTCCACACCCCTTGCCAAGCCCTAGTTGCTTTGTTTTCATATGAGATACGAGCAGCATTTGCAAGCCTTTAAAGTCTCAACAGGGGAGCCCTGCCAAGTCAAAAATTAAATTCCGGTTTACAGACCATGGGCAAGCCTTCAGCAGCAGTGGGGACGGCCTCAGGATGCCTGCCTTTTCTGAAGTCTTTGGTCCATGGGACCAGGGTCTTTGGGCAAACAGCGGGCTCTCCTCTTCTCCCGCTGCCCATGCTGAGGGTAAAAACCTCAGGGTCCATACTGGCACAGCTAACCAGCACAAGCAACTCAGTTAAACTGCCCAGTGTTCACGGAGAGGTGTGTAAACTCCTGTTAGGCCGCCGTGCAGTAAATCAGATAGCTAAATCCTATAGAAAACATAGTGGGGAGGGCTTATAGGGAGGAGGGTCCATTCATATAAGCTTGGGGAACACAAGAGTCAAAGGGACAGATTTTCTCATTTATTGCTTCTGCCTGGATAACTATTTACACAAGCAATCTGACTGATATCTGTGATGAGCAATTAGTTTTCAGAGCAGTAACTTTGTTGCTATCTGGAAGTTATTTTAAGCTATTCAAACCTCACATGTTTAGAGTTACATTCAGATTTCTACCGTAATCAAATTACAGCTGGTGCTCGAGGACTGCAGACTTCTGTTTTGAACCACAAGTGAGTCAACACCCCTTGTAAGGGCTGTAATTTGGAGTACAAACCTTGCTTTTTCGTAGAAATCAGCAAAAGAATGGAGAGAGGTTCTCACAGCTCACACGCTGCACAGGCTCTCCAGATACTTCCTGAAAATCAAAATGAGGACTCCCGTTCCCCAGTCACTTCTGGAGATATTAAATGATGTTTACATACTCTACACGTGTACTGCATATACACAACAAATCATTAAATTTCCTAACAATAAAGATTTTTTTTTTTTGCATTTCAGAAGTGCACCTGGTAAAGTAAAATGGTCTTACTTTACCCAGGACTGTTGGTAAATGACAGCTAATTAAATCTCACAGACTTCCCCCTGAGGCGTCACTCCTGTTTTAGAACCCCTCCCTGGGGTGGGGGGGAGACATTTACATGACTCACAAAAAGCAGCAATAGCAAAAATGAATACAGCTCAGGGACAGGTTACCGTTTGCAGCCCTCTCTAGACGCCTCCAATTCAGGAGCATTTTAACCCTTTCTACCCCTCTCAGATATTTCCCTTCGTAGCTATCCTTCCCTCCCCACTGCATTATTTCACCATCGAGCTTTAAACAACTTGGGACTCGGCCTGCGAAGTCTTTCTCTTCCCTGCTGTGTGATGGGAGCTTTTGGCAGTGGAGTTTACACATCTACCTAAGCAGTTCCTTGACCCTCACCCTGAAACTGGTTTTCTGGAAGGGCATTCTGGTTTCTGATGGCCTTGAAAGAGAAATTACGAACACCGATTGATTCACCTCCTCTTTCAGGCAGTAGCCCGATGGCCACGTTCACTTCCGCGTGATGAACGTTCGGGCAGGCAACGGCTTTGGAGTACTTTTAATGTAACTTTAAATGCAGAAGAGAATTAGGTGATGTCATGCCTGCCATGACATGTAAAACTTTTGCCTGTGGGTTTCGGTGGCTTCAGTTCTGGCATCTCCTCAAGCATGACCACAGAAAGTCTCTTATTAGTCCCCATGGTTACACATGTTCCTCCGTACATCGTTTTGATCACCGCCAGCATTTAAAAAATATGTAACAGATGTACAGTCCCTTGAAAATGGGATAAAAGCCACTAAGGATTCAGTTAACATTGCTTGCTTGTGATTTACGAAGTCAGACTACCATATCCCCCTAGTGACCTGTGGCCTTGTAAATGATTCCTTGGTATTTCCTATTCTTTGAATTAAAGATTAACTTTCAAGCTCGGTTAGACTTCTGTGGAAACATTGAAACACGAGATGTATGCAATTTTGATATTTTACATATTTCCTTTCCACTTTCTCTAGCAGAGATTTATTCGGATTAAGACAGCTGGCTGTAGCTTGCCTGACTTTCCCTAGTATCCTCCTGACGTAGCTCTGATATTATACTGAACTACTTTTTTTCAGCTACTTTGAAGTACGAAAATTGTTTTGAATTGCAATACTTTCTTTCTCACAAGAAAAAGAACATAGCAAGAGCCATGCAAAGAGTTACATTTTTAATTTATTGGGGGATATATAGAAATGGATATTAAAATAGCCTGGCCTTTATCTATAATTGCTAACAGAAGAAAGGCTTTACTGTGTAGGTGAGAAAAGTTAAATATTTGCATCATTTCCAATGAGAAATTCATACGCAGAGTTATGGAAATGGTGTATTACATGACCTACATTGAGGAATACAGTTCATTTCTTACTTCTGCCACTGACTTCTTGTGTGACGTATGGGAGTCACGTATGTCATGCAATTCCTCAGCAGAACTTGGAACAGCACCCACGAGCTCCGTTCCAGCCCTACCAGCAGGGGCTCAGTTATAAGCAGGTAAATAAAGCTGACCAACGTTTCTGTCTTCTTTACTCACCTTGCACTCCACAGTAATAAGGTGAGCTAAAAAGCAAGCCCATCATTTTAGCAGGAATCAGACCTTACCATTCCTCCTTTTAATTCAGGACATCTGGAAAAATCGAAAGATTCACCAGGAGAATTCACAAAAGCATTGAAAATACCATGCAGAACTAAAAGTGAGATGACTACATTTTATAAGGCATGAAAGATCCCAGAAAGACACGTGCTTGTGAAGTGGGCAGCCAATCGCCCACGCAATCCACTTTGGTTTAATTTCTGGTGGAAACGCGCTTCTTTGGCAGGGGGACAATGTGCACTTAGAAGCAATGGGGGCCAAAAAGCAAATTTTAAAGGTGGGGGACCTAAAATAATTTTTAAAAAGTAAATTCTCTTTTTTCCTCCTCCTCCCTTGCCAAGTCTTCCCCTGGCAAGTCCATCTCATAGTCCTTCCAGATTTATCATCCCCACCAATTCCTACTCTTGCAGATAGAGGAATATCAGAAGATGCTAAAATAGTGTTCAAAGATGATGGAATGCATCCAAAACCGACCCAGGTTCAACGCAATAAATGAAAGAAAATAATACGGAGTCTTGCTTGTGTTAAGAAGAAATGGTTCTCATTAACCTTCTTTTCTTCCTCCTGATGTTTTTGCACTGCATTTTTTTCTTGTTTATTCTGCAATTTGGAAAGATTTTCCTTTTGAAATGCAAGCAGAATATTCAGCTTGCCTTTCTGTCAATACCTTCTCCCTGGGGATGCTCAGCAACACCTCAACGCAAAGTCCCATTGAGAGTTAAGCCTTTATGCCCTGGAAAAATGTACAAATGTTTCTGGCTGCTCACTGGACGTTGCTTCTCTGGTGTCCCGGGGTGCCACTCTGGATGATGTACCGTGGGTTGGTATGTGGCGGTGTAGCCACTTGGAAGATGTTTCAAGCGGATGCTTGTGACGAGGCGCTGTAATTTCTGGGACTTCAGGCTGGGTATGTAAAGTGTATCCTACCCGTGTGTCACACTAACAGAACAGCTACAGACAGCGAGTAGACAGAGGCCTGGGGTTTTGCCTTAGAGAAAAGACATGAAAGTAGCTATCACAAGCCACGTTCGTGTCTGTGTAGTTTCTTTAGTCACATACTCCTTTGCCCTTTAATTCACAAGCAACATTTAACTAATGCCACTTCTTCATGCGACATTATTTCCAGGTGAAAAACCAGACAGTTTTCTACTGCCTGCTGCTTGCTTTCCCCTAGACGTGTCTAACATACCCAGCCACGCACCCAGCACCGTTGCAGTCTCTATTAAAAAAGACGTAGAGCTTGTATAATGACGGGCAGCTTGATAACAGATTTATGGATACGGCGCTTGACCACCTAAGCCGCATGTGGGACCGTGAAGAGCGTGCCCTTCATCATGGGCGATCTGATTTGTGTTACGCCGTACCAGCAGAAAACTGCGTCGGACTTCCATACATCGATCAGTATTTATGTCCATTAGGGATTTAATCTGAAAGCGTTCTAAGAGTAATGGCGAACAATTTGTTTAAAAGGACGAGGTCAGTAAGCACATATTATATACCGTTTCTAGCTGGTTGTTATGTTTATGTCCCTGCTACATGTGGGTGTTACAGTCAGGGCAAGAATCGTACGTCACAAGCAGGTTAGTATAGGATAGCTGGGTATTTTAATTGACACACAGTTTTCCTTGTAAACTGGCCTTAATGAAAAGCAGTGAACTTGGACCCCTAAGTTTTAGGGGCTGCCCCTCGAGAAAGACGTGTCTCCTGTACGTCCTTTGTTACATCTTCCATCTTCATATAGACGTCTCACAGGCATTAGGCACTTATGCATAAGCATAACTGAACTGGGCTTCCTCCATGTCACCCAGGTGTTTGAATTTAGCTAAAGAGGATCGATATCTCAGAGGTTTTTTTAAGGCACCTTCATTTCTCCACTGATTAGATATAGGGAGCTTAGGTGCATATTTTTGTTTAGAACAGCTCATTAGGTGCCCAAAATTTCAATGCGCATTAGGTACCTCAGCGAGGGTGACCTTGATTTGGAACAAGCGAAGCAGAACTTTATTTGCTCTATATGGAGATTATTTTTTCATACATTATACATTTGCGCACTTTCTCACAAAATAAATTTAAACGCCAAGCAGTTGCCGAACCACCACGCGCTTGACCGCGGATTATTTTTCAGCCTTTTAAACAGTGAGGTGCGTACGGCACGGGTTCAGCGGGGTTTGAGCATCGTCTTCCCCCCAGCTGCCGGGGAGCACCCCGGATCCGGGGGGTCCTCGAGATGGCAGTGTTGCTCAGCCTTTGCGCTGCTGCCAGCCCCCCGGCGCACACCCGCAGCGCTTCCCAGAGAGTAAGACCGTAGATTGTTCCGCTGAATATAAAACTGACAACCCTGTTATTTTAAACTCGAAAGTGACAGGCTGTTATTTTAATGAGGTCTGCCAGTGCCAAGGTTAACCAAAGCTTTATTTCCCCTACAAAACGTTAAGGCTGCGGTTCTAAAAAGGGGGCTGTGAAATTTTACGGTTATTGATACTTTTCTCAGCGTGGGTAAGTTCTGAGAATTTCACCCGGGCCTTCTTGTGCAACAAATGTTTTTTGTTTTTCCGCCTCTCTTCTTTTTTTTTAAAATTTGACTTTGTGCCTTTAAATGGTCCGGAGCTTTACTGATAACTGCCTGCTCATGATTCATGTTTCTGCACAGAAAAGCAGATGACAGTCTT